CTGCTACCAGATGAATAATGTTCAACTGCACTCCCTTCACACCTAGAGCGCACGGCAGCTTGGGAATCATGTGAGGCTCTTTGATTGAATCAAACAAAGGTTAATGCCATCCTGAGGGAGTTTTCAGCACATTATCCATAGGATAAATGATTCTGAACAGGCACATGATTCTCCCACCTTATTTTACTGGCTGTCTTAGAGTAGATGACTAAAATAAATAGTTGTAAGAAGGAACTGTTCAGGTGAGACTATGCAGCATTCTATTTCTAACCAACCAGTGGCTGCTCTGACAAGAGCTGTTTTTCTCCTCCTTTCCCCACCAGCTTTTCCCTTTGTTTTGAGTCAGGCCACTTACTCTCTGTGGCTTCCAGCTGTAAAGATTTTGGACACTAAAGCAGAAGAAAGATTGGTATTCTTGTATTTTGAAAGTTAAGGACTGCTTAGCAAAAAGAAAAACAAAATCTACAACACTGATATAAAACTTCCCTGGAGGGAAGAATTAAGAGGGGAATATGCTCTGATTCTCAAGACAGCAAGATTCTTAACCAGTCACTCAGTTTCTCTGTTAATTCGAGATTAAGGCAGGATTGATATTACATACAGCACTGGATACAGAGTTTTGAGTAATGAGCTATACTTTGTTTCCCCCGTTTCATTTCTGGAACCCTCTGTATTTCAGACACTCATTATTCCATGTACTGAGACATTGGCAAGGCTGGCAGACCAACTCCCTGGCTGTTTTGTACCTAGAATTAAGTCATTGAATTTACATCACAAAGAATAAATGTGTTTTAAACAGTTTAATTCCTTCCCTCACTTAAGCAGCAGACAGCATGAGAAGCACCCACTGCAGCTCCTTCAATTGTTTGTGAAGACTGGAAAGGGAAAAAACATAAATTCACTAATTAACAGAGAAGCAGCAATACGTGGAATCTGGCCTCCGCTGCAGCCAATGGGATTTCTGCCAGCCGAGTGCACCCACCGAGTTCAACAATAGTTGCTGGAAAAAAATGTTAATGGCTCCATTAGGAGTCTGGAGTGAGAAAACAAAGTCACTTGGCAGTTGGCTATAGTGGAACAGGATGATACATCAGTGAAACAGAGAACATTTACCTGGCACAGGATGTTTTGGAAAAATAACTGCCATCAGTGTGAAGGTACAGTAAAGGTTAGTTTACCTTCATAGTCTTACTGTTTCAGAAAACATTTGGCAGGAAAAATCAGAGTTTAACTGTGGGACTAAAGCTTTTAGATAAGCATTTCTTCTCTGTGTTTTTAGCTTTATACAAAGGGCAGCAGACAAAAAAACAACTCCAGATAAAGTCAGGGATCATCCTCAAGGGATGCACTGTTCCACCAGCACATACCAAGGTGTGAGCCAACTTCCCTTTCTCCAATGTGCAGCCTCAGTCCCTGAAAACACCAAACTGTCAGCCCTGAATCCCTTTCCTCTTTATAGGGTTTTACTACTCAGAAAGGCTTTTTCAGTTGTACCAGGTCTTATGGCAGTTCAATACCTCTTTACCAAATCCACAGATCCACCTACAGCAACAAAAAACACCCCCTGGCAGCTCAGGTGCCTTCTCACTGGTTTTTACACATGCCTGCAAATGTCTGGTTGGCTCTTCCTGGTTCTCAGTCCCTCCCTGCACAACATTAATTTACAACATTTACCTTAGTTTGGTGTCAAGATGTTGTTCTGAAGAAAATAATCTATCCAGCCACACCACAGGATACAAACAGGAAGACCAAGTGGTTGGATAAAACAATATGGCACATCCACAGACTTTTTCAGACACAAAATCTTCATAAGGCAATTCAATAGTAATGAAAAGAACCATGATTAATAATTTATTTTTTTAATGTTTACTGTTAGACATTTTATTTGTGTTTCTGCAAAAGCACCTGTTTTGTTTTAATATTTTGCCTCTGACAAGCTCCTTCATAAATATTTCTACTTTGTAATATAAAATATTTAAGCTCTTAATTAAACTGTCATTGAGGTTTTATGGCAATAAATGCATTGAAATAAATGACAGCATTTAACAAAATGTGCACATTTTTATAGAGATGATCACTGCTGATGTTCACAGCACACCATGAAGGATGGCAATGTCTTCATGCTGCTCACAAGAAAGACTTTTTAATCACTGAGCTCTGAAGATTATTAGTTAAAAGCTGCTGATGGAAAAAGAAAGAGGTAAGAGTGGAGGAGGGAAAGGGATTGACTGAAATTCTGCACTGTGAATGTTCAAGCAGTTCTGAGTAGCAAAATGCTGCCTTGTATTACTCAGAAGGCCCTTCCTGTCTGACCTTGGATTTTTTCAAAATCAGAGCCCTGGTTCCTTGCATAGTTATGTTTAATCCATTTTAGAATTTGGAATTATATTTTTATGATCTACAAGGGCTCTGGAGAAGATAAATGTGATGGGGAATATTATTACACTACTGAAGTTCTTACCTATACATATAGAAATTTCTTCACATAAAGAAAAGACCCAAGATTTTTTAGAAAGGCCTTTAAAAAAGACAATATTTTCATATCATATCATTTATATACTGAAATTACTGAGCAGGAAGGTTTCTTTGAGGGGGACCAGCTGTCAGATATAAGTGCATGTTAGAAGGAACAAGGTAACCTCATAGCAATTCAAAGACAACTCTTTGGAGCAGAAGCACTGACCTTTGTATAAATTAAAAATGAGATTTTGCTTTCATTTAAAGGTGTTCTATTTTTGAAACATACATGAGAACTCTATAGAGTGAAATTGGTTATGAATAGCTAAACTTTATGGATGGATAAAGAAAAAAAGCAGATGCCATTTATACTTCTCAGGAAAACACAAAGGGACAATAAATGGTCCTGCATCCCTAGGAATTCTTACTTCTGCTCTTCCAGCAGCAAGAGACTGCTGCAATGTTGTGCAAATATCAGGGAGACTGGAGCTGCACTGCAGCTGGGGAGGTGCTGGAAGTTTGCACTCTGAAAATTTTCAAGCTATATTATAACCAAATAGAGAAAAAACTGCTCCCCACCCCACAGCACTCCTGGGACCATCCATCATAAAGCAGATTAGAAACCTTTAACCTTATGTTCCAGCCAGTCTAAATACTTCCTAAGGCCATTTTATGTTGCTCTGTTTTATTCAATGGCAAGGTAATTAACAGCAAGGACAGGTACACACATGATCCTTTTTCTAATTCACACACTGCCCTGGAGACTGATGCCATAAACACCTCCTGTAAAGAATTAAGTGCCTTTGACTCCTCTGGTGCCATGGAGCATTCAGGCTCTGTGAGTGATGGCAGGTGCTCCCCAGCCTCTGCATCCCAAGGGCAAGGGTGTGATGGGAGAGCTGCTAAAGCTATTCCCAATCTCCATTGGACACCTGGTAATTTGCAGTTATTTTCATCACTCTGCCTCTGTTTGGGGAACAGGGAAGTCAGTGCTTTGAATCCAAAAGTATGGATGTGAAAGCAAGTCAAGTCTCTGTTACAGCTACATCAAGCCTGAGCCATTCAGAACAGCACCCAGACTGTGGGTAGAGACCTCATGAAGTGCAGCTGCCAGAGGCACCTTGTGTTCACTTGAGATAAATCTCACTGAAATATCCCAAAAAATTACAATTGGCCAGTGCTGCACAGTCCACTCCAGGATTGTTCTTCCAGCTGTGTGAGGGCAGTGTGTTCCTGAAGGTACAGCTGCTCTGTGTGACAGCACAGCCCAGACTGAAGAAAAATATAGGGAAATTAGTATTGAATTTAAATCTAATAAACATGGTCATAAATCAACCATTTATTTCCTAACAGACGTTGAGGTTAAAGAACAAACCTCCAACTGCACGAGTTTATCCTGCTCTCTTCCCACAGAGGCAGAGGAAAGCACTCACTCTCTTCTGGAATGTGGCCTTTTACGTCTTTTCTCTCCCATACAGCAACTTAAACCTGCTTTAAATGCAGTGCCAGAAAATATGTGCAAGTCGGTGCCACAAGGTGATAAAATCTCATCCTTGTCAGGCCTAAAGTCAGGAAGTATTGTCAGGACACTCTTGAAGGAACAAGGTTGTCTTAGGAGACCAGAATTGAACATGTTCCAGCAGCAGGACTAATTAAGGCTGATGTTAATCTAGGCAGAATCCCCACAGTTACTAAAGTTTATTTACTCTTAATTCCTCAAAAGTTTCACTGAAAATCAAGATCCAAATAATTGTTTGGAAGTCCATGAAATCACAATGACATTAGGGAAAGAACTCAGCCCACACTGAATTAGGCGTTAGCATTTCTGGTTAACATTCAAGCAATAATCCTCCTCGTCTGACCTTCACTCACGCCCACTGATTTGTTCCAACACTCACAGTTACACTTTTCTTTGTTGGGAAAAAGAAACAAACAAAAAAGAAGAAAGTTGAAAAGGCAACCCTCTCCAGTTCTACTTTTATATGAAAATCTCTCTCACCAGCTGGTTCCCACTTGCTGCTTCGGATGGCTGCAGTGTGGTACACTAATGTCCATCTTGGAAACACAAGATATTTAGATCCCTTCAGGATTTAAGGGGAGCTCAGCTGGGTCAGGGTAAAGGTTGAAGTAATCTTCCAAAGCCCTTTTAAAGATTAGATATTTGTCTTCTCTCATGCTCTGCAGATAACCACAGCACAGTGACAGGAAAACCAGCACATGCTTGGCTGAACTCATGAATAAGGACAGCGTTATCTGGATGATCTTGCTCCCTTTTCTCTCCATGCTGAGAGGGAAGGACACCACAACAGACATAAAGAGATAAAATACTCCAACATTTCATACAGCATAACAGCTTTTTATTTTAATCAGTGACTGTCCCTGGGCTGTAAATCCATAAGGTGTGTACACAGGCCTGGCAGGAGCTTTGCTGTTCAGACAGGCCTGAGGCTGCAGACAGAAGCGTTTCCCAGCCCCACCACAAACTGCCTGTGTGATGGGTGAAACATTTAATGAGGGTCTTTCAGCTCCACAAGGTTCAAGCAATGCTTCTCACCCCTTTAATACCTAAAAGATTTCAAACTCCAGCACAGGGACATCTTTCTTTGGGTTTGTACAGTAACTACCACGATGGGCCTCTGATCACGGCCTGAGTGCTGCCCTCATAAGCACAAAGGCCCTGCACAGACTGCACACAGCCAGGACTGAGACACAGCCAGGGTTTGGTAACTCAGTATTTAATGTCCACTGCAGGACTAGGTGTTTAGACATCTAAATCAACAACCAGATTTTCTAAGGTGAGAAACAGCAAACAACTTCCCTGGCTTTTAACATTCAGTGGGGTACATCACGTCCAAAGACAACCAGCAGGACTGAAATTGCAGCCTGGGCCAGGAGGTAGAAACATTGCTACATCTGGGGATTATTTACTTCTACTCCTGCATGACAGCAAGTGACTCACTCAGTTGAAAACATTGAACTCCCACAGATTTTATTAATTTAACAATCTCACATACATTAGGATTTTTTCTCTGCCTCAGTTATCTGAAAATTACCAACACAAAAACTGGAGATAAAAAGAGGTTGGCAACCATTAAAATTGGCATCAAAATGCATTGTCTAAGAGGAAAAAAACAACATAAAATGGAAGCCAGGGAAGCTTGCTCTCCTCATAGTTTTTATGAAACAGAATGAACAGACCATGCTGTCTTAAGTGAGGCATTATCTTACACCGTTTTGCATGGGTTATGATTGTGATTTTAAAATAATGTATTAGGTACTGCTAATACTTAATAATTTCAGTGGGTAGGAAATATTTTTACTGTTTCCTGTGATTTTACTTAGTGCTTCCCCCTGCTAGGCAGTAGAGTATGTGTAGGAGTTAACAGTTCCCAAAAATAAATATTTGCTTTTAATTAAATCCTTCCTCTGCACTTTGTTCAGGACTAGGCAGGATGAGGCCCTCAAAAACGCCTGTGCAGGCCATGCAGTGAGGAAGGAGGATTTATACCACGCAGCAGAGGGGATAAATCAAGTTCATGAAACATGTTATTTCCCACTGTGATGTTACACATACTGCTTTTGAGAAGCAGCAGGAGCTTTCCTTTCCCCATGCAGCTGCTTTCAATATGTAAAATGGTTTAAAAGCCTGAGAAGGCACTAAGAATCTTTTAAGAAACTGATACTGTACAAGATTTTTAAGAGGAAAGTGGAAGAGGAGTATCTGGTAATAAAAATATCTCTTTGTTAGGTATGAGAACCTCATCTGCCAAAATTGTCTTTTGCTAGTCCTGCCACCAAGAAATACTCTTCCAGGTGTAACCTGTGGTACTCCAAAGTAGATATATCTCATCTTTGCTACAGATTTTCCTTCTAGGGAATCTGTTTCCTGAAATAAAAATGTCAGCTTAGTGATAGTGGGTGCTACTTATAGTGAGCACATTAACAGACCAATGCTATTCAAGCCATGCTCCCCTTCCTCAGGAGAGGGGGCAGAACCTCCTGCTGACCTCCAGAGGCGATCACCTTTCTGGTTTTGTAGATGAAGCTATCCTTTCTGCTTATTTAGTTTCCACTAGCTGAGCTTGCTGGGAAAAAGATCTTGTTCTTAAGATGTTTTGTGCTGTGAAGGTTCTAGAAAACAGCTGAATCTTCTCAGCTGCAATTTCCCTGTTTCACTTGGAGCATTCTTTGTGCAGAGATTTCCTAACAGACAGGACACAGGATGCAGCCTGGACAGCAGGCAGTCCCTTTGCTGGTGGCTGTGTTCTACTGCTTTTCTCAATTTTCCAGCCCTTCCACAGCAGTAACTCAGAATGCCAGACCCAGACAGGCAGCACACAAGGACCTTCCTGCACACTGTGCTAGACCAGGAGTGCTGACATCAAAGATCTCCAAGCCACAAGTCCAGGTGGGAGATTCCCTCAAAATGACAAAACCTCTCAAGAGCCTGATGAGCTTCTCGATCAGATTTGTTATATCTCTGCAATCATCTGCTCTTTTCATCTCAATATGATTTGTTTAAATAAACAACCAGCATGGCTTCAAGTGCCATTTCACCCAATACTTGTGCCTCTAGACAGATGAAGAGGCAGGAAAGAGAATAATAGAAAACTGATGAGGAGAGAAGAAAATAATAAATAAGACCAAAAGAAAGAATGAGCACCCTTAGGGCTCAAGTCAGCATCCAGCTGAGAGGTCTGTGGGTGCAGAAAAGATTATTTACACTGCACTATGAATTTTGAGAGTAATATTATATAAGCCTTCCAGCTTTAACAATTAAAGAGAAAAGTAATTATAAGAATTATCCAAATGTTAAATGGTTCAAAATTAACTGAAATATTTCTGTCTCCTGAATGGAATCTTTTGCAAGACCAAAACAAATTTCTAAAAGGTGGGGGGGAAGGAAAGTGGGGGGTTATGATTCATTTTAAAATGCAAATATTTTAATAGGTTTCTTTTAATATATATGTTAATGAGCTTCTAGATGAGACACAAACCACAGGCCAAGTAAGCAGATGTCTTGTCAACAAGGTCTAGAATTTAGAATCATTAGGGCTCTTTTAAGAAACATACTTACTCCAACATAAAACTGAAGCATATTATAATATTTCAAATTCACACTGCTCTGTGTGACATTTTTTCCTCATTAAAATGAAGAATGACACAGCTAGAGAGAGGCCCTTCTTCCCTGCTTTGTATTTGTAGTTCAAACGATGTCTCTAGCAAATTGTCCCAGAGAGACAAAATATTAAGCACCTTGAGTGCTGTTCTGCATGCAATTAATTTCATAGCCTTTGGAAGTTTTTAATGTGTTGTGGTGACCAGTGAAATAATAATTAGTTGCTGTTCATTGTTCCCATCCTGTTCACTCTCTCTTTTCTGCAACCTGTCAAATCCTGTTTAACTCTGCTTGTTTTTCTAGGTGTCAGTTCTTTTACATTGTGCAGCTTTCATGATGAAATTCCTGATCTTCTTGTTCGCCCTTCAACTTTGAAAAGCAAAGAACCAGACAGATCTGAGAAAAGGAAACTCAGTGAAGGGTAACGAACACAGTGTCTCTGAATCCACAGCAAGTAAACTACAAATATGATCATTTAGTAAATATCATAAAACTTGGGTCTGGTTCCTGAGTTAATTACCTGTTGGACTGAGTCAATCTACTGAAACCAATAGAAGTTTTCCTACTGTCCTAAGAGAATTTCTATCAAACCTTAAATTAATCTGTTTTTAAACCAAATTCCTTTGGAGTGCACACACACATACATCCAAAGGCAACTTCCATCCTTTGATTCTTATAAGACAGTGAAATTTATACCAAAAAAGCAGTGCTCATATAGAATGTTTCTTGTGACATGGTTATTTGTCCTAAAATCTCCATAATTAAAAAGGAAGAGTGTCAAAAATACCCCCACTGGTACAAACAGGAATCTGCAACATGAAATGAAGTTTCAACACAGTGACTTTGACCAACAAAGTACTGTGAAGATATCCTGTATATTAACTAGTGGCAGAAAAAATCCCAAAACTGCAATGGAATTCTAACATGTTAAAGGGAAAATAAAGGGGGAAAGCACAGCACGTACTGGTTTCAATACTTTTTTTTTTCAAATTTAACATCTAGAAACACTGAAAATTTTCACTTCATTCCTCAGAAATTAATCTTAATTTTCCTGTAGTATTGATGATCTCTCAACAATAACAGAGCAATAGCAATGAGGCAGACGTATCACAGCTCTTATAAAGACCAAAGCAGTGCTTCCACAAGGCTTTAAGAACATTGCATCCCTTTCCCACCATTCATTTTTTACCTTCATATGGAAAAAAATAACTCCTTGTTTGTCAATTTGAAACACAAAAGCACATAGGGTTAGGTTTAGCTGCTGTATGGAACCATTTCACTGCTACAGAGCCCTGGAAGTCGAGATTCCATGTGGAGGTGTCCAAAGGGATACCTGCTCTGCCTTCCTATAGCAAAGGTTTTGTTATATAGTTAAATATTTTATGATAAACCTTCAGGAAAACATATACAAGTCATATTAAATATCAAATTGAATAAAAATGCAACAAATATCTAACCTAAAATCCTGCACAGAGGTCTTAAGCACCATAAATTCTCATTAATGAATTACTACCATTTTCCACTCATTCTGATGAAGTTCATATTAAAATCACAAAACTTAGCATCCTTAACATGTTTAAAGGTTGCACATCTGCCATAGGTCCACAGAGGGATGAGACTGAGCTGAAATTCAGACTCAAAAGAGCTTGGGCCTGTTATCAAAGAAATGGAAATGAAAGAGCCAGGGCTACATTAGAAATTAAAGTCTCTTAGAATCTTTTCCTACACAATTTTCTCAGTTGCTGTGAAGCCCTTGATCTGATCCCACTCTTCCATTTTGGTGCTTATGAAAAATTGTGATGATGACCATGGCTAGGGTTTTCAAAGGAATACAACCTTACAGTGAGCACTGACATCCACTGCAACTGAAGTCTTTTTGTCTTGTGCCAGATCTTAAGATCTTTGTCTCTTTTTGATAGACAGGACTGGATTGCTGCTGTACAGGGTCACAGCAGCTCCTGTGCTTGGGTGCACATGAGACAAGACAGAGGTAGGTCATTATTTCAAGGGAAATGCAATGTTTTGGCCAAGTTCACACAAGGCAAGGTATTTACAAAGAGCTTTCTTCTCGACTCTCTTGCATCCCAATCTATTTTGTTGATTCCAACTGAAATAACAGATCAATTTTGGGTAGAGGGAGGGAAATTATAAGAACAAACCATTGCAATATTTAGGCTGAAAATTGGAAGAGTATCTAGAAGGAAGATTCAGAGTGACCAATATCAGCAATTGGAGGAAAAGAATTTGACTTCAGAACTGTGTGTAAAAATTAGACCTTTGTTTCAACAAACACTGGAACTTTTAGCCATGTTTCAATAAACTGTTCATAGCTTCACAAAACTGAAGTGCTACTTTTAATGAAATGCCTTAAAGCTTAAAAAAAATGTTTTCCCCCATGCAACTCAGCCAAAATAATTTTGAAATAATTTTTGTTTTCCCCCAAGCTGCTTTTTTTGATGAATAAATGATAAAATATGACTGAAAGGAACAGACATACCCATAAATCAGGCATGTTGGTTTCAACACAACTGAAAGGTCTTTGAATTCTTCAAAAATCTACTACAGACAATAGCCTGTCTGGACTTCAAGTGCAATTCAGAGAGATAAAAATAAAAAAGAAGGGGGTCAGAAGAGAGAAAAAAAAATAACCCTGTCTGTTTGAAAAACTTACTTAACAGGAAAATTTACAAGCACTTAAGAGCTTCCTAAATTCCAGTTGAATGTACACGTTTTATCAGATTTTACAGAAGTGCTGTATTTTCAAATTTTTCTTTTCTGTGTATGTGTTCTGTCCTTGGTGAGTGAAAATTGTTTCCTGCTGGGAAACACCCTTACATTTCAAGGTGAAAGTGACTGATTTCAGAACTGTATTAATGTTATTCTTCAGCACTACCAAGGTTCAATGGTAGAAAAGGCCTGAAGTCCAGGTTCTCTGTAGGATGACTTGGCTTAACACCCATGAAACTTTCAGGGGGTTAAATGCTTTTCATGTATTAGTGTTAATATTGGTTTTATTTATTTAAACCTACAAATGCTTACACTTCTGGGAAAGAAAATTATTCTATCACAGAGTAATGCACCTAAGAAAACAAGGCTGAACTCAGCTTTGTTTTGTAGGTTTGTTTCAGCTGTAATTCAGTGAATAAAATATTCTAGGCCACATTGATTCATGCACAAATCATATGTTAATGGCCTCTCCAGTAATTAATAATCCACCCCCAGTCTTAGCAATAACCTCCATAGTACATCTTAGCTCAAGGAGAGCCAGGAGACCACAGCCAGAACCAAAGTTGCAGCACCCCAACACCAGGGAATATGAGATGAGGTTGTCTTGGGCCATATAAAATCACCCCACATTATTTAACTTGCATTCATGGACAACATGGCACCACTTCACTCTCTGCATGAACCTCACTGAACAATTTTGCCTCTGAAAAGTTTTAAAGACCTTTTAAGAAACATGGCTTTGCTTTAAGGTTTATTCCTAGCTTATGGAACCTGGAGAACATTGGACAGGCTATGCCATGTGGATGGATAAGAGGTTGCTAAACTGGGGACGTGCTGTGTACCTCAGAGCATTGAGCATGAGGACACAACCAAGAGTTCCAGCGGGTTTCATATCAGCAATCTGTCTGATACAAAAGAAGAGAAGATATTCATACTTAAAAATTAACCTCTGTCATTTTTAAAAGTAGAGGTATTTGGGTCAGCCCTTGATTTAGGTTGATCTCTAGTGGGAAAGCTAAAGAAGTGCAGGAAAGACAAATTATTTCTCCAATTCTGTCCCCTATGTAAAAAACAAAACAACAAAACACAACAAAAACAAGCCCACTGCGTGAATTTGGTCTATTTACCAAAAAGATTAGAATAATACACACTGAAGATACACAAACAAGTGTTTCCTGGGTGGCACTGCAATTACATGAGACAGACCTGGCTTTCAGAGGGGTTTGATGCAGTTGTTTTGTATTCCAAGTGCAACAGCTGAGTGCTATCCAAAACACAACTGAGCTGAAAGAGGTAGAAAAACAAAAGCATCTTGTTTGTCCCAAATGAATTCAACTTCGTTAGTTTTGGCAGCTTTTCAAAGATCAGAAAAAAAATATTTATTTGATCTTTCCCTTCTTTCCACTTAAGGTCAATGATTGAAACAGGATCAGCTCAGTGAGTACACCTCCAGTTCACAGTCTGTTGAATAAACAAACTAAGTACCATTTTGACAGCTGTGGAACAAAAATAAAAAACACCACAAATTTTTTATAACAGCTTTACAGAATGAGGAAGATTTCTGCTTTCTGAGGTAGTTAAAAGCCCGGGCCATGAGGCAGAACAATTCTGTTCTAATCTTCTCCTTGCAATAGACCTACTTGTTGTCAGCCAGCAAGTCATCCTCACTAAAAATTTCAGAGAAATGTGTCACAATCTTGACACACAAACCAAGTTCAGTTCTCAGAAAGTCAAACCATCTGCACAATACCTTAGGATCAGTAGCTTTCCCTGGTGGCAGAAATGAATAGAAATAATAAAAAGAGGTTTTTCATGAAATCAACAGCCAGTTTTGTCTCAAAAGTTGCATCTGACATGCCTTGTCCTGCCATTAAAGGTGGAATTTTCAAAGAGTCTGGACAAATACATCAGTCCTTGAAATGTATCAGGTTTTGAATTCCTATCTGCATCACTGCTGCTAGAAAAACCCTAAATCCTAATGAAGATAGAAGTCTGGAATAACTTGTACAGATATATATCCATAATTGAATATAAAAGGAGAAAATAGAATAACAAGTTTTAAGACAGCAAAATTGTGAGCTCAGGTTGCGGATGGCTACATGAACACCAGATTTAACCTGCTCAAGCTTGTGCTTGGGTATTCTCTTGGATTTTGCTACAGTCTCAGGGTGTGCTTTGAATTTGAATAGACCAACCATAAAACTGCTCAATGTGATTTATTTAATCAGATTTCTCTGTTACTGATACAAAATCTGATGCCTGCTTTTTATCTGAGCTGAAGGTCAAAGACAGATTCTTAAAATGAGTGAGGAGTTAAATCTAGGTGGATATAGAGAGAAATATTCTTTCCTGGCATGTCAGTTCTTCACTCCTGTTTTTCCAAGTAAACTTTGGGCAGTTTTATGACTGGAAAGAGCTAATTCAAGTCTATTTTGCTCTTCTTTAAATAACAGAAGCCAAAAACCTCCCCACTCCTGCAAGAAGCCTGCAGCAACAGAAAAGAGCCCACCTGATACACTGCACATACAATAGGGAGAAGTAGCACAAAATCCAGAAACTTGGGGAAAGAGTGGCATGCTTTGCATTGCTTTGTACAATAACAAACCTAAGAGAAGCCCCTTGCTATAAAAGAGTGTTTTAAGAATTATAAAGATCAACGCTCTAACCAAAAAGAAGTTGAAAACTTCTTTTAATTATTGAAAACTTCAATTTAATTATGAATTTTGCAATATTAAGGCAAACAATTCGAATAACTGTAGCACTGACAGCT